GACCTCTGAGGTTAGGTTTGGCTTGGACTGGCGAGTGCTTGGGTGGCTCGCTACAGTGCTGGAAGTGGTTTTGCTGGAGTAGTACTGTATGGTGGCTCTTTTTCCCTCTAAATGAGAAATTCATGATTGGTGCTTCAGGTGGCTTGTGGTGTAAGAGGTGGAGTTTTTCTGATATATTACCTCAGGCGCTGGAAATTCCAGCCCTCATGCACAATTCATCTTAATTGCAGATCTAACCACAGACCAAAAAATACAAGGAAGGCAAAAGCTGAGGCCGCTTAAATTCTATTGGTAACTTGCATTTTCAGAAATTGTTCTTATTTAAAGAACAACAATTGGTTAGCTTGTAATTATGTTCTTGTGTTCAGATTAGCCCTCATTTCCGTTAGCTTTAATTGTATTTTGATTTTTGTTTTCAAAATGAGTAAAACAAATGTTAAATACTAGAAAGTCAGGACTCAGTAGCAGTTTTTGCTGCAAGGTTGAGTATGGTGACCTTCATACCTCAGGAATGTATGCAAATCCATGCAGTTGAACCTTCCAAATGTTCCCACGACCGTGTTTCAGTAAAATATGTTACTTGCTCTAGTCCACTAGGCATTATAATTATAATTTGGGATTCTGGTTTGTGGATTGTGGAAGTCTAGATTGTTGCAGTAGTTTATGTCAAAACTCATAGGGACCCATGGGGGGATCTGCATGCCTTTTGTTGCTGCTTCCAGGAGTCATTTGCTGTGGAGTTAAAGCAGGTGGCCTATCTTCTGACTAGGAGTTTTTTTTTCTGCCAGTGATTGTGTGCAGCCAGCCAGACTCATAATGTCCTCTTGTTTTACCCTGACACTGCCATTACAGCTCTGCTGCTTAATTTGGAGTACTATGAGCTCCTGACTGATATTAGCACACACTAGAGCTTTGTGTACCATCTGATCAGCAGGGCAGCAGCTGCCAGAGCACATGGCACTTTAATGCCATGCTGGGGCACAGGGTGAGTCCTGGCACAGATAGAGGAGTGTGGCCTACCCAGCCAATGACACAAGTCCATCAACTCCAGTTCATAATGCACCTGTACAGCAGTTTTCACAGCACACACATTCTAGACAGGCACAATCTTCACCTCAGGAGCTTGTGTCCATTGGACAGTTACCATATGCATGACAATATATAGTAGTTGGTGTTAAATTCTGTGCAAATGTGAATCTGCAGTAACCATTCTGTGTGCTAAGATCATGTAGCATTAAGCAAAAGTACGGTGCCAATGAAAACTAGCTTTGCCAGTGTCCAGATGGCACTGCCAGTGCTGAACAGGTGCAAAAAGGGTTAGTTGTTGTGCCTATATTTCCTCTGTAATTCAGACCCTGGGACATACTATACTCTAATCCAAAGAACTGATTATTGTAAATAGTGTACAGAATTGCACAATAGATAGTGTACTTAAGGAGATTGTGCTAAACAATATGTATGATTGCAGTAAGAGGCAGAGTGCTTGATTGAGGCAGGTCTCTGTAAGCAAAAGAGGTACTGTAGGACTTGAAAGCTCTGGACTGCTTAGTACTGTACGTTACGTTTCGATTGTAGATTATAAATTCTCTTTTTCTTTTCACAGTGGAATGAATTTCTGCTTGTTCCTTTGGCAGCCTAAAATATAATGAACTCTAAACTGCCTTTTGAACTTAATTGTTGTATTTTCAACTTTTTAATGAGAGTAAAAAAAAATAAAAAATAAATAAGCATTTCTTTCTACTGATTCTATTAAACAAACAATATTTATTAAGAAGACTGATACTATCTAAACACAAATTTTAGCACCAGATTTAAGAAATTGTTCAGGGTCTGACTGGAGATGCTCCCTCTTTTTTGTTTTTGGTTATTGCAGCACTTTGACAGTGACTTCAGTCTGATGATTAGTACAGGAGAGCACACAGCGTGATCACTTTTGTATTAGCTCAGGTGAAACAAAGAGAGGTTATTGGTTTAATTTCAGATTTCTACTTCATAAAGTGGACTGATTTTGCTGAATAAATAAGATGAACTATTGTAATTTCATCTTTAAGAATTTCACAGTCTAAACATTCTAGGCCTGTGAAGGCACCTCAAGTGAACACAAATGATTTATGTCCCTAAACACAAACCCTCTTTAGTATCATACAGATCTGTGACAGAAACGTTCTACTCCCTGTAGTGTAGAGTATTTTTAAAATGATTCTTCTTATTTTTCTAGGGGAAGCTATTAATTCTGTATGTTTCAGAGGTCTGGAAATGTCATTCTTAAATTATAATGGTTTGTTATGGGTAATTGAACTTCGTTTTGGCCTATCATTGTCAATATATCATTCTACAATTCCCATTGAAAAAGTATTGTGACTCTTGTCAAATCAGCCACACTGCTCTGCCTTGAATGCCACTAACTGTCAATCTAAAACTAATTTTAAGTTGTTTCATTGATCCATTAAAAAAAACTGTCACCCAGCATAAAACGGTATATCCACATAGAGGAAATATGCTTAATTAACTGTAAGCAGCTTCAGAAGAGCTGAACTTTAAGGAATAATTGTTTGTGAAGAATCTTTGCAAGAAAGTGTCCTATGACGATACAAATATTTAGACTATAAAGTACGGGGATTGATGAATGTCTTTAAGAATAATATGATTGTTTATATTTTTAGAGGGGATTGTGAGAAATTTGGAGACATCCTCAGGCACAAACAGTGCAGTATCAAGAACTGCTTTTATGGCAAAATATGTTTTTATCTTCTTAAGAAGGCAGTTTACAAGTACACCCACTCTTTACTGTACCATTTCGGTTGAGATCAGAGGATGATATGAGCACCCTCTTCTGGTGAGTCCTGATGGCTGGGCTCACAAAATGGGCAGTGCCCATAGTTCCATTGAAAAGCACCCCAAACAGCATTTTAGATCTCATGCACTAAATTATCATACAAACATGGCTTGAATCAAAAAGCTATTCCCCATCCAATCTCAAGTCAACACTGACTACACGTTGAGTGATAGAAATGAATCATACATTTTGAACCTGTTGTGACAGTAACAATTCTTCAGTGCAACCAAAGAGCAGGTATACCAGAACATTCATTACAAAACCAGGTTATTAAAACAGATAAAGAGTAGCACTGTATATGAATTACAATAGGTGAAATAAATTTGGAAATGCTGTGTGGTGTTTAGGAACAGTTAACTGTAAGAACATTATGGAAAAAAAACTAAAAGATAATTACCCCAATGTTCATCTGAAAACTACCAGATTATATAGTGTAATAAGAGTAATATGGATAGTGGATAATGTGTGTTTAATATAATAATTTTAGACTATTCTATAATACTAATAGCATTGCACAGAGAAAAAACATGTATATGTCATAGTCTAGAAAACAAGTTATATTTGTCTACAAATTTTGTCATTTTGTAAGATTTTGTCAATCTTACTCTAGTGTGGATAACAATAACTATGCTTTCTGCACTATGCTATGGGGTTCTGTCAATTCTGATGGGAAATTTTCATTTATGAATATGTCTGGAGCGTGCTGTATATTACAAATAAAATATATACATATACTCTATACATATGTACATTCTATACCTGAAAAATTATATTCAGAACGGGTCTTATTCTCAAATTTGCTGTTTTGTTTTCTGATAAAAAGCTCTTTAATTAGAAACATACTGTAACATGATAAAAACATGTCGATCACATTTTCCATATTCATACTCAAGAAGATCTGTAAGAGAATTTAATACAGCACCTAACCCCAGACCAAGAACAAAATGTACAGTAGATCTTAAGTTTTGATTATTTCTTTTTCCAGCTCTGAAGCTAATACCTTTTTCTTTTACTGTAGGCTGTTCAGTTGTGTTTAAGACTTTATTTTATAATGACAAGTAATGAACATTTGCTTCTTGAATATCTTTATCATGTCCCTGGTGTCTAGCTTTTGATTAATTAACACTCATAGTTACTCTAATTTATTAGGAATTTGTTTTCAAGAGCATGCTCCAAAAAGACTACATTTTTAATGACTTATTAATGAAGTCCTACTGAATATCTGCGATTAAAAAAAAACAACACTTTTTAGTAGACAATGCAGGGAGATTGTCTGTGCAGAACCAGTAATTTGTAGTTTATTAACCCATAGGGAGAACAGGTAAAGTTCACTGGGTTTAGCCCCTAGCAGCACTGAAGAAAGCTTGAGTCTTATGTACAGTATCCAAAATTAATGTGCCCAGAAAAATATGCAGGATTGATCCTTAATTCTGCAAAGAACATTACAGTATACTCAGTAGAATGAGTATAAAATTAAACTCAGAGATAAACATTATAATCTCTGAGTATAACATTATACTCAAGAGATTTGGTTCGTTTTGTAAAAATGATTATGCATAATGACAAGAAAATATCAGGAACAAAAGTAATAGAATAAAGGTAACAGTGAAATGGGTGTTATTGAAGTGTATATTATAAACAAAAATTGTTATCGGTGCATTTATATACCACAGTATAAAAATTGGTTAATAACTGTTGAAACATTATATCGCAATAAACAAAATCCTTGAAAAATTGTCTAAATCCCCAGAACCTTACATCCAACTTGAGCAAAATATTTCTTTAAATTAAAATGGGGTATTGTTTACATTTTATTCTTGCTTCAGAGTGGTTAGTCTGTGTGGATTGAAATCATTCCATCATCAATCTACTGAACCTGAAAAATCAATAATTGGGGCTTCTTCAGGAGTTTCAAATCACAGCAGACAGTGTGAAAAAATATCCTTCCAAACCACATAGTAAGTCAGAGTACAAAGAAGAAAGAGATGCTTTATCTAAGAAATAATGGGGTTCTTCTGAAGCTCTGAAAAAGGTATAAAAATCTGAACTGAAGCTCTATAATTGGCCTTATATAATACAAATTGGTAGTTATACGACGACTGCGTGGGCGACTGGGTTGTAGCCATACTGACAACCAGAACTTGTTTGCCTCTTGTCCCTCCAGGGAGGCCTAATAGCGCTTCTGCTCCTGATTCTCATCTTCACCATGGTTCTCTACGCCCGGAGACGCTGGTGCAAGAGACGGCGTGTCCCCCAGAAAAGCGCCAGCACTGAGGCCACCCACGAGATCCACTACATCCCCTCGGTTTTGCTGGGGCCCCAGGCCCGTGACAGCTTCCGCAACTCCCGTCTGCAGCCCCACAACTCTGTCATCGGAATGCCCATCCGCGAGACGCCCATCCTGGATGACTACGACTGCGACGAGGAAGAACAGCACCACCCAGCTGACGGCAAGAGAGAGGACGACTTTGGCAGCCAGGTGACTCGAACTCTGGAGAGCCTGGGAAAGGGAGAGGAAGACAAGCTCGGCCAGGAGAAACGAGGTTGGCCTACTTTTAAATTTACTTCAAAGGTCCTAAGCTCTGATTTTTGTGCTGAGACAGCTGAAAAACGGGGGCGGGGGGGGTAGTGCTAGCACATTACTTATAGATTGTAATGAAAAACAAGTGAAAACATGAAAGCAGCCCATTAAAAAAATTGCTGTTCATCATATTTAACATCTCAAGTTGTTTTTCACACGAGATTGATGTTTAGTTAAACTTCTAGCTTCTGGAATACTATGGCAAGTTAGATACATAGATACAAAGTTACAGATCCCACAGAGTACCCTGAGTCTCTACACTGTACTTGTTAGGTGTGATATTCAGGGTAAAATAGTCAAAGATTTCATTTATGTCCACTTTGGTAACTGCTATAGGCATAGATTTTGTCAGGCAGCAGAAACACAATCTTTGAACTGCGTTTTAATACAGCAAGGTTTGTTAGCTTGTGAAAGCATTCCAGTGTGAGCACAGTTCCTGAGATTTTTAAATTCTGCATTTCAACTGCAACTTTTTATTTGTGCTAGGTTCCCAGCTGTGTATAACTTGTATAAAGGCTGTACATGTGAAAACTAAAACAGCACAGATTCTGAAATACAACATTGCCATCTGGAACAGGACATCTTTCTCATTTTATTGCAATTGTGTGTGTTTTCCTGATGATTAATAATTCAGTACAATAGGAGAAGAATAAATTGTTCACTTCTGTGGACTGGCTGTTTTCTTGGTGAATGGTGGGACAGAGCACATTCCAAAGAAATTATTTAAAGGTTCTTCTGTTTGAAAGCAGCAAAAAAAAACAACAACAACCCAATCAACCTGTTTCATATTAAACAAAGACTTGCCAATTCCTTTTCATCATTTACTCAGTTGCAAATGAAAGAAAAAATTGTGCTATTTCCTTATCAATCTCTTTGAATAGAATATACATGATTTCTCTAGAACAATAAATATCTAGTAACTCTATATTTTAGAGTTACGGTACAATTCATGCAAAACATTGTAAAATACATATTGAGAAAATTATTATTTACGATATATTAAGATGTATTAATATTATCTTTAAGGAGGCCATGTTTTTTCAACTCCACAAGAGTTCCCTTGTTAGATTACATTAAAGATAATAATTTGAACTGACTTCTATAAAGAAAGCTTTCAATGATGGGTAATGCTAAACTGTTATACCAAAGAATCCATGATCCTGAAGCTAAGCCTTTAGGCAGCATAGTTTATATACAGTACTGTACAAGACAGACAGATTGTTGTCAAATCATGTTCTGTGCTTAAAACATGTATTTAAACTAGTCTGTAGAATGTAATTCGTCTACAACATATTGTGATTTTCACCTCTTCACCTTAAAAATGTGCTTATAAAGCTGTTTTTATTCTGGGTATGTCTGGTCTGTTACACACCAACACCTACAACACAGTGTTATAAACAGCACTACATATTCTGGGAAATACACAATGAATGATCATGATAGGAAATACTGCTAGTCACTGCTACTTTCAGTTAGTTAGTATGTTTGGTATATAAATATTCAAATAAAAATTTGAAAAGAAAAGAAAAAAAACTTTATTATACTATTAATCTATATTTATATTTCATATTTAAGTAAATCTTGCACAAAACACCTTAGGAGCCTTCTGTATTTTCTGTACCAGAGTGTACTGTGCAGTGGAATGCATTAAGTCAGTGGGACACAAATGAAATGTGTTTTGATTTAATATATAATATTACTTTTTTCACATGTATCTATTTTCTTTTTACTATTATAACCTAGGACCGTTTTCCAGCTATTCTATTTTCTGTGCTTTAATGAGTTCTATTATATTTGCCAGGGTATTTTTTAGTGAAAAACAAAATATTAAAACAAAGGAAATGCTTTCTTTAGAACAATCCAAAGAAAATATGGTCCCACAAATATATGGGCTGATTTTTATAGCTTCTCTGAATACCAACTAGAGAAAACAGTTGCGAATAAAGAGCCTTTGACACAGTTAAGATGATAAAATGTTCTGGTTTAAATAAACAGGAAATTGGCTGGTCTGGAGATTAGCCTCTTGAGTTTTCTTTTAGAGGAAGAAGGTGAAATACAAATGACAGGGTCTTTATACATTCCATGTCATTTAAAAAGGGTCAGGAACTGTGTTAGAGCATTTGACATATTTTGTTCTAAAACAAATTCTGTAAGGTTAATTCTGTCTGACTTTTACAGGGGAGAAAATAATATATAATCATTTCTCTTTATTGCTTGGCTTAATGTGCAAACAATATAAGATCATGTATTCAAACAAAGACTGTGCAAAACACAGAATTTATAATAAGGGGATATTCAGTGAACATTTATGTCTTATGGACATGATAAATGTTTTCCATGCATCAATTTCCAATAACCACATAGTGTAATACTTTAAGGAATGAATCAAACATAAATTATATTCTCACACATGGATCTATATATAAAATATACAGTTAAACCAATTTTTAGAATATAAAACCAATAACATGCATAAAAACAACACTGTAGTAGAATATATCTGTGAAAATATCTGTAACTATACTTTTCGCTTATATGTAATGTGTTTTAGTCTACCTTGTAGGTTTTATTACTTTGATATAATACATATCACGTTCATATACTCAGATACAAGTAAATATGCAAATGTGTTTGGAATAAATTCAACAGTCAAGAATAATAATGTGAATAAAGATGTTTTATACTCAAAGATGTGTTGACCAAAGGTCCTAGATGGGTTCAAGCATCCCAATGAGAAGATGGAATTGAGTTGGATTGGGTTGTGGTCTGACTTAGAGGCTTGTGCTGCTAGTGTCCAGGGTGCAGAGCGACAGAGATAGAAGACAGCATTGTCTAGATTTGTGCTTAGTAGCTAGTACTGTCTCTCAGGCACCTCTGCCAAAAGTTAGCATCTTGTTGAACTTCAATGTTGAAAAACAGTCTGTCCACAGTTGTCTTCTTGAGTACAGGCCGCAATATAGACAAGTGGGAGAACTTTGTTTGTTGTGGCTATAGCTTAGTTCTGAATATGCTTGGATAATCAGGATGTCAAAAAAAAAACAGGGTCCAGCTATCTTATTTCATTGGATTTCAGAAATGATATCTTGGGCAGAATTCGATACTTTCTATACTTTATACCCATTCCTCTGCACTTACACACTTAATAACAATTGTTCTAGTTGCTACAGCATTAAGTTAGAGTTTCACTAATTGCATTCTGAGCACAAGGTAGGATACTTCCTCAGTAGGACACCAAACACCTACACTTACACTTAACACAAGGGACAGTTTGGACTGGACAATTAACCAAATCCAGATTTATAAAAATTATGGACAGTTACACCTTTTTCTAGATGCAGTTAGTGCACTGTACATATAAATTATTTTTAGTTCTCTTTTATTTTTTTCTGTACTAAGACTTATATCTCCTGCAGAGTCACAGAAATGCTGGCTGTTTTATCTCCGATCTGTCCTACTGTGAACCTGCAATGTTCTTGTTGAAAACCCCAAATTTTGCCAGTTCTCTTTGGAATAGGAACAAAAAACAAATACATATTTTTTTTCTACTGGTGTTGTCTTCCATATGTTAAATTCACTACCATTTTCAGGTGTTTTCAAAAGGAGGCATTACTAACAAAGATGTTTCTGAAGCTTGTATTAAATTTCTGTTGAACATCTAATTTAAACACTAACATGACATTGATTAATTACAAGACATCTTCAGTGCATGTAGCAGTCAGAAAATACTATACACCAAGCAATTACTTTATGTGGATTGCCTAATGAATGACTATAGTTTATGATCACCTTTGCAAATGGTATTCTAAGGATAATTTATGGAAGTATACATTTTATTCACCACTTTGTTACTCTGGCTTAGTTACAGAATTACAATTTACTTATCCAACAAAACCTCAGTAAAAACACTTTGAACGTTGACTGCTTGTTCCTTTTCTGACTTTATGGGCTGCATTCACTAAAGGGTAGAAGATTTCCATTATCACAGTGTGGTGGAGAAAACCAACACCACATGAGAAAATAATTTTTTTCTACTGTATTCACTACACTAATGATGTGCCCAGTTAATGTGTGGTAAATGTGTAATCCTTATGTGGGAAATGGTTTAGTGTTTGCAGACAACAAAGGCACTTTAAATAATGCACAGTTGAGTAAGCCCTGGATGCTGCTCTCACTACCAACCTCTGTTGAGAGGTACAGCCCACATTTTCCCTTTGTTTACAGGATCACAGAATGCTGTCTTAGACTCCACAGTAAGTCCAGTATAACTACTGCTAATATTAACTTACAGAATCCATATCTTCATTTTTTTCAGGCCAGTCTTTCACATTAAAGCCAGTTTAATCAACATATGTCAGTTATAGAAGATACAGGCAAAGCCCAGATTAATATGATTGTGGGTAAAAGGCTGTAGTGTTTAGGAACAAGTAATAGGTTTATTTCATGCTGAAAAGAGAAGAAAGGAAACGCAACGTTTCGGCTGTGGAGCCTTCTTGGGGTGTGAGGGTGTTAGGGTTACAGTTCACCGAAGTTCATCCAAAATTACAGTATGTGCTCACACACGAAGAAGGCTGCACAGCCGAAACATTGTGTTTCTTTTCTTCATTTTTCAGCACGGAATAAACCTATTACTTGTTCCTTTGCAGCCTATGCTTGCTGCGCAGCTACCCACCTAAGGTATATATATATTTGGAATGTTTTGAATATATGATAGCTTTTGCTTTATATTTTCTATGGGATTCAATACTTGTGTATACTACGCTTGCGCCATAAGGGCCATAAAGATCTTATCGAACCAAAACATTTTCATAATGTAACAAATATAATCACTTTGTAATCCAATAAGAGGCAAACTAAAACACAAAAACACCATACTGTATGTCAGGGGCACTTTGATGTTCTGCTTTTCATTTTGCTGTCCTCTAAATTCTGTGTTCAGCACTTCCGCCATCATTCCTCCACACT